TCCCCCACGTTTGTAGGAAGCCATTTGTCTGTGGAGAGTGGGATCTCAGAAAGGTCTGTGTCCTAGCACCTGGGGGAGATCTCTGGCTTGCTTCCCTGTGAATGATCTGCTTTGCAGTCTGAGCCCGGAAATCAACCAAATCTGTGCAATTCTCACGAGGGTCTCGTTTCCATACTGCCAAAATGAAATCGCCTGTTCCTGCATCCTGACACAGGAGAGTTCTGGCTTAGTTCTGATTACTGAGGGCGTTAATACCCACCTGCTTTCCTGACTGCTTGGCATATTTGTAAATTACCTGCTGGATTCAAGCAGAGGAGGTAAGCCCATATAACTATATGATCCCAGCAACACTGTCTTTCACAATGAATGGAAGAATTCTGGGGGAGGGGATTTGTGGACCACCTGTCTTTGGCCTCTGGGAAATATCTGTGCTTGGCAAGCAAAGGTAAAAAACAGAGAAATGTCTTCAATTCATGAAGAGAGGTCTCGGTGCATAAACAGTAAGTTTGAATAGTGTTTTCAAGGGGAATAGTGCAGACCACATCCCAAATCTTTTACTGTAGTCAAGTTATTCCCTCCAGAATTCCTACTTGTGGTATCACACACAGGTTTCTCTGCCTGGTTGCCCTCCCACAGAGGTTCCACTGGTCCATCAAGGCCCTTCCATTCTTTTGTGACTGTGGTGGTTTGAAAGAAAATGGCCTCCAAAGGGAATGGCACCATTAGGAGGTGTGTGGCCTTACTGGAGTTGGTGTGGTCTTGTTGGAGGAAGCGTATTAATTAAAAAAAAATGCTGGCTTTGAGAGCTCATGTATGTTCAAGCCAGTGAGACAGACCGCTTCCTGTTGTCTGTGAATCAAGATGTAAGCACTCTCAGCTCCTCCTCTAGCACCATGTCTGCCTGCACGCTGCCTTGCTTCCCATCACGATGATAAATGGAGTAAACCTCTGAACTGTAAGTCAGCCCCAAATAAATGTTTTTCTTTATATGAGTTGCTGTGGTCATGCTGTCTCTTCACAGCAATAGAAATGCTGAGTACGGCAGAAGTAGGTACCAGGGACTGGGGCACTACTGAGATATACTGGACTATGCTATTGTTTGGAGTAATGTGAACTTCTGGAGTTTGTCTTAGGAACACAACGAAATGCTTTAAGTTCCGCTTAATGGACCACACTAGTAGGAGCATGGAAGATAGTGGTGCTGAGTGGGGCCTGATGAATGGTGGGGGCCTGGCTCAGTAGATTTCAGAGGAGAAGATGTGGAACAGAGCAAAATCCTGGGTTCAAGAAGATAAAGGGATTGAGAAATGGAATAAAGTAAGTGATGACCTTAGGAAAGATCCCACCCAGCTAAGATTCCATCTTGTGAAAGGGAATTAAAGAAAAGCTTAGAACTGGGTGCAGTGGTACAAGCCTCTAGACCCAACACTGGAAAGAAAGGCTGGCGAGTATCTGAGTTCCAGGCCCTCTTGTTCTACAGAGAAAGTTCCAGGATAGCCAAACGTAGGCAGTGATGGTAACAGTCAAAAAACGGTGAACATAGAACTGAACAAGGGGGTCTTGTTCTAGACCCAGCAAACAGTAGAACTTGACAACTTGGGCCACGTGGTTCTGGCATTGGAGCCAAGCATAGAATAAATGGGTTATGGACTCTTACTTTTTGGCTACGGAAAGCTGCTGAGGCCAGGCATGTGTCAGGGGTGTCCCTGGATCGAGGCCTGAGAGAGGCTGTTTTAATAGTGAAGCTGTGTATTTAAAGCCTGGATTTCCTTGGAGAGCACAAGATATTAGAAATGCCAGAGTTGTGGGGCACCTGTTGAGGAGAGTTGCTGTCAGGGAGTGGAAGCAGCCCGAGAGAAAGAAGTGTGCTGCAGTCAACAAAGATGAAGAGAGTAGGAGGTCTGAAGAGTATTTTGACACCAGACACAGAGATGTAGAGTTTGGAGTCTGCCCAGCTGGTTTTTGGTTTTGCTTTGGTTGCTATGCTCCCTTCCCTCTGTTTTAGGAACAGTAATGTATATCCTATGTCATTATATGTTGGAAGTATGTGATCATAATATGATTATGATTTTTATAGGGGAATTACATTTAAGAGATTGTATGAATCTCAGAAAGGACTTTAAACTTTAGACTTTTAAGTGAGTTTGAGACTGTTGTAGACTATGAAGTCTTTTGAAGTTGGACTGAATGTATTTTTTTTGCATTATGACATGTCTACAAGCCTTTGGGGGCCAGGGAGTGGAATATGGTGATATGAAAGGAAATGACCACTAAGGGAGTGGCACTATTAGGAGGTGTGGCCTTGTTGGAGTCGTGCCAAAGCACTGGTCAATCATACATGGTGACTGGCTTCTGTCCCAGCATCATGAAAGAGATAAAAGAGGGCAGGGGTACAAGGTCCCTAGCTTGAGCAACCCTAATTTGCAAATTTTAAGTTAAAAATCTCCAGAATTCTAAACTTTGGAGCACCGATATGAAACTGCAAAGGAAGACTCTATCCCTGACTCCGTGGATGGGTCTCAGCCGAAACACAGCGGCACTAAAAATAGCGCACAGACTTCAGAGATACTTGCTCCTGCGTGTTTGCTGCTCCCCTTTTCACAGTAGATAAGAAATACAACCATTCCAAATGCCCTCCAACTGATGAATGGAATGAGTGTGGTACATAGATACAATTATCTATTATGAATTATTATATATATATATTATATTGTCTATGAATTATGTTCAGCTGTAAAGAAAAATGAAATCCTTTAAGGCCTCCCCCACCACCCAGCAGCCATATAATTATTCAACAAAAGGCTCAGGGTTAGGTGAGATCCAGTGTTCATCGAGAAGGATCTATGTGACCCCCAAAACAGTAGAGACTACTGCTCTTACTCATGGTTGCCCGCCATAATTGAACAATGGGATTCTTTTGCTGATGCCATCATACCCTTTTTCACAGGACTTGGAGAAGTCAAGCTGGTACAGCCCTGGAAGTCTCTTTCCCGATGGCTAGCTCTTCTAGTATTGGAAGGTACTATGTAGGACACCAGGAGGGAAACATTTTCAACAGTCCCATCCAGCTGCAAATCCTTCAAACTGCAATATGAATCAGCTGGGCAAGATATGCCCAACAGTGAAATTTTGGCACTAATATGTCGGGAGTATTCAAGCTCTGCTTTATTGCTATAGAAGGAACTCAAGAATGGTATTGTAAACCTAGCCAAGAACCCATGGTTGAAAAGGTCATAGGCCATAGATGAGAACCTAGTACTTACTATCTTCTTTAAAAATTGATCCAGCCTTCTAAATATTTATGCTCAGAGCCATCGATAAGTGAAACCCTCACTACTCAACAAAGAAACTTCTCCAAAACACAGAGAACAAGTGACAGAGTGTCCATCATCAAATGCATATATTAACATCTGCTCATACCCAAGGTTCGGGGGATTTCATGAAAAAAGGAGCAGAAAGACTGTAAGAGCCAGCGGCCTAGAAAGACAGCTACAAAATGGTGTCTTCTGGACATGACAGAAATGTTACACTCAAGATCTTTGAATAATACGGTTTCCTGAATAAGACAACACTAGTCAACATTCTGGCATGGACAGAGAAAGGAATCACAAGGTCCCTTCTCTAGGTTGATGGTGGGACAGGGAAGGAGAGTTAGTTGTCTTCAGGGATGGGCCCTTGGTGGAGTGCCCATGCCTATGGAGATCAACTGTATGTTCACACATATATACGCACATAAACACACACAAATATATACATGCGTATATCTATATATGCAACACTAATTGGATTTAGTAGAACACACATACACATTATTAAAATAGAGGGCATGAATTTGAGAGAAGGATGCAGGGGAGGCATTAAATGCAGTGCAATAATGTGTAAAATTCTCAAAATAAAGCAACCAAAACAGTCTGTGAGGCATATATGAAAGACAAATGAATTTCATTGGACCCCACACTTTATCTACTTCAAGAGATATATGCATTCTGCTTTTCCTGATGTGTGGTTGCAGGGCCTTGGACATGTGCCACATGTAACCCTTAAACATTCATTTTAAAACAGACTCTTAAATTTTTCTTTGATTTTTTTTTCTATTTGCTTTTTCTCTTAATATGTTTAACTTACTAAAATTGCAGCAAGGCAGGAACACGAGGCACTTTATCTTTAGGGTCAGGGTGACAACCGGTCTGCACCATGACAGAACCGAAGGTTTCTTCCTAACATTCAGTGACGACTTAACCCGTGACACTACCACAAGTTGTTTCGGTTCGACCTGCTTTGGGGGTATCAGGCTGAGTCACTTCATATTCGGCCATGACCTGGTTTCCCAGTTGAGTTTACAGATAGTAAAGACAGCTGATTGACACATGACCATTTAGACTGGGGAGATGGACCAGGACCTGCTCATCTACAGTGTTTGTGAACAAAGACAGGTTTATGAGAAGGACTTTAAATGACAGATTAGTTTGTTATCTCCTGGCATGAACTTGCGTCTTTAGAAGTTTGTAAGAAAATTGTTGAATGTCTTGACATGCATCTGCAAACGGCCCCCACACTGCATTCTCAATCACTTCTGGGCACAGCATTTCAGATTAGAGAAACTCAAACTGCAATTGCTTTAAATTAATTAACCAATTAATTTTTGATAGTATGGATGATACCTATGAATATCTGACAAATACTTTGCCACTGAGTCACACTCTCAGCCTTGCTATTACAAATTTATTTACTTGTCTCTCTATTTAAACTCATTAAGTAATTGAGGATGACTTTGAACTGATCCTCTTGACTCCACTTCCTGAGTGGGACTGTAGACATTCATCACGGGGTTCAGTGTTGACTTTTATTTACTTATTGGCTTTACCATGAGGACATTTGGATTGTACCGTTAGCTTGATTTTTTTGAGTTTCATCCATTGTACACTGTATTGTGATGTCATTTACCCCTGTGACTAGAGGACATTTTCAGTGTCCGTCATCAGTGTGTGGGAACAACTCACCTACATCTGTTGTCGCTGCAGACGCAGCCAGGAGAGATAACACCGGGGCTGAAGGAATCGCAACACTGTCCACTGCGGTTGGCTTCTTCCTGGCCATCATGGTGGATACTGAGCCCTCGCTCTTACTATGCGCCACGGTCTGGTCCACTTTTAAGTGGGGACTTGGCATCCCTGAAAAACAATAAGTCAAGAACTTACTGTAGTTGATTTAAAGGAACAGCAGGGCAACCATCATAAAACCTGACCATGATTCAAGTAAACAGTCCAACTGCTTGTCCTCTTTTGGATACAAAAAGAAAAGAAATTGAGAATACTTAAAAGGGAAAAATAGCCATGGCAAGTTTGGGGGTGATGCCGGGGCTAAGGGCTTTCTGGAATGAATGCCTAGATTTGAGGCAGACACATATGTAATGACACAGTGTAATGTATCTGGTATCCACTACCCTTCTGAGGATCCAGAGACACATCTTTTCAGAGATTACCCTGAATGGAGTGTGAAGGGTGACTGACTCGATTCCTGTCCTAGCGAGGCTCCCATCTCTCTCGGCTGGGAAGACGAGACTCCTGAGAAGAAACACTGAGCATCCAGTTCCTGTAGGTTTGTGCATTACTCATTCTAGATGCTGAGAGATTCTAAAGCTACAAGATCGGCATGAGGAGACACTTCATCAAGCTCATGCGAAACAAACAGTGAGGCTGAGGGAAAGTCATTCTTGGTGCTGAGAAGAGAACATGCAAAATACTTGACAGGGAGAAATAGGGTCCAGATAGATAAATATCTTAAGTGTCCACAGATGGACGGCTAAATGGATAAGGAAGATGGGGTACACTATGAATCTCATTCACACATTAAAATGAATGACACTTTGGCATTTCCAATGTCTAGACTAGAAATATGATAGTCTCCCATTTGTGAATGTAGAATAGTGATGGCTAGAGGCTGAGAAGGACCATGGCAGATTGAATTGAACAGCTGATTTGTCAGGACTCAACAAGCATCATAGGTCAAGTGATTAGGATGTTACAACTCCTGATAGCCTTTTATGGGCTATTCTGGATCCTTGTTTGTTAATCTGGACCCCATTTCTCAGTTCAGGCATTTCCAGGCTATTACCAAGAACAAGTTACTTAACGTAATTTAAGTTACTTAATAATCAAGTTCCTAGTTTTAAACTTCAGTTTTTATGGTTAACTTTCTTATCATAAAAGGTGGGACAATGAGAGAACTTCGTGAGGTGTGTTGAGCATCCAGGTGAGTGGGGATGTTAAGCACTTGGAAAGAGTTCCAGGACGCACTCCGTGCTTTGCAAGTTTCTACTATTATTGCTAATGTGTAACTGCCTATCCATATTATTACAGAAGCAACTGAAGCTGTAAGGATAGGTTCAGTTCTCTTTTCTGGTATGGTTAAGGGTTTATGGGCACCTATCTACATCCCTAGCTGTAAATCACGTCTAAGCCTAGAGGGTTGAGTGTGCCTCCTCCATGTCAAACGGCTATCTATTCAGGCTTCCGCCATCTGTAGTCTAAGACCAACAACAACAAATTGAGTTTTGTCACTCATTATTGACACTGTTTTTTTCCCCATCCTAACCAACCTAAGTGATACAGTCCCTTCCTCGAGCAAGGTTATCTTAATCACTACGGGAGATCACCTTTAACCACTTTGGCTTCATGATAGCTCGGTGACGTATGACCATGGCTATTACTAATTTTTCAGTTTTATAGATGAGAGGAACACCCTTTGGGGGAGCTTAAGGAAAAATTGAATAAAGTCCCCCTGCTCTTCGGTGGTGTTGGATATCTCCAGTTGCAAAATCCTAAAGCTAGGATCATCTTGGTCCATCGGATCACACTAACACCGACCGCAGTTCACGCCCATCACAGTATGCTTAGTGCTGAGGACACAAGCCTTATTACACAACTGGATGACACACCTGAAGGCACTTCAAGAGTGGGTCCTGCTAATGCTTTATTTTTCGCTGCTACCCTCCTTCTACTCTCCGTTCTTGTCTCATAAACTCTTGCTTAAGATGCCACAATGAATAAAATTTCTGCACTTTTCTGATCTTGCATTTCAGTGTATTTTGGGGACAGAAAGAGACAAATGTCAAGTTCTATGGTAACAACATTACAAGGTACATCCATCAAGATACGCAAAAAAGTGTACAGTATGCATTATTAGCAAAATATGCCGCTGTGCTTAAGATGAACTAGACACAGGACCCAGGGTAGTTACAGTCACTTGTGTGAACATCCATCTTAGTAACTAGCAGGGGTTACTCTAAGGAAGGAGGATCAGGGATAAGTGGAGTATAGAAAGTGGGGATCAGGAAGAGTTCCCCTTCACGTCTTAGCCTTGACTTTACTGTTCTATGCATATCATATTATATATCATACATATATGATACAGAAATACGTTAAGGAAAGGGAAAGGTTTCACTCTGTAGTCAAGACTATTCTGGAACTCACTGTGTAACCTAAACTGGCCTATAATGCAGGTGGCAATCCTCCTGTCTCAGTCTCCCAAGAGTTGGGATTATTGGTATGAGCCACTACTTTAACTACTAATATTTTCTAAACTACAAACATGTATTAACTCCTTTTCTATCGAGTAAAGAGAGTTTGAGGGGGAAAAGATCTAGAACTATCTTAGAGCATGATACGAGGTAAAATGTCCAATGGGCTTTAGCTTGTGGTTGCTAACAGGTCTGGTCACTGAGACAGCAGGCAGGGAAGAAACCAAAACAAATACACCATTTTTGTGTGCTGCAGGACCTCAACAGGATCCCTTCCAAACACACTTTGGAACACTAAGCTATCAGCATTCATTACACTGAACAACTGCTGCTTCGGAAAAAAAAAAAATGACTGACGAGCCATCTTTGTACTGTGGATACAGGTTACACAGATACCTTTCTATTTAAATTATGGTGCATTCAGGGAATGGAGGCAATAAACGGGATTAGTAGACGAATATTTAACCCTCACTCGGGAATGAACTGATATCCAGTCATCTCAGTTGTACCCATTTTCATGCAAATGTTTACAATCTAAATTAGTCTCAGGCCACATCATCTCATTAGAGTTGGTCTGATCATACCCCTGCTGGGTATACTTTGCCACTCAACTGTTTATGATACAGACTCTGTTAAATGCAATAAAATGACACCGAAAACACTTTGTCATTCCCATCATCACTGTTGAGCTTCCGCGGAAACCCTAGGCAATTGAGGAATTGTCAACTTTCAAAATCATCCTTCGAAAAGGAAAAGGAAACTGGCCCTGATGTTTTTCTCAGTCACTTTTGGCTTTTGAAGGGATGATGGACTCTCAGAAGCAGCATAGATGGGCAAGACTATCATATAAGCTTTAAACAAAGGACATGGCTCTTTATGAGAGTAGAGGCCTGGGGAGCGTGGGGTCGGGGGAAGGGAGTTGCCCCTTGGGGAAAGACATTGTGCAGGTGGCCGATGTAAGAGTTTGTTTACTTTCAATCTAGTGACAGCAGACGGTCCATGGTGGGACATTTGGTGGGTTCCTTCCAGACTGGGCCTGGCTTTTCTCTCTCTGTTCATAGGAATAGGATTTTTTGAGGCAGGAAGTTGATTAATTTAAAAAAAAAAACAAAAACAAAAAACCGAAAAACAACCAGAGTCTTGCACAGATCGGGCTGCAGAAAGCACCCTCGTTTACATGGGAACATGAGAAAAGGCGGGTGGTTTGCCTCTGGGCAGGGTTATTATTTAAATCCCGTAGTCAGCCTGTACAGAGAACATCCCTGGTGGGTGAGTTCTGATTGTTCCTGCACTTTGAGACTTTAACATCCTAGCACACTGATGTTCATATTTCTAGAGACTAATGTGATTTTAAAGGAAGAAATAATGGCAGCAATAACTTTCTTAATCTGACATCTGCTCAAAATTAAAAGACAGAACTGAGAGAAAATTTATATTACTTATATGGAAGTATTTCACAAAAACCTGGCAACCTCTATCTATAAGTTTTTAAAAATTCTTTGTAGCTATGGTAGAGTCTGTCAGGGGACAGTGACTTGTTTTCAAGGGTCATTTCTCAGATCACTTATGCCTACAAACCTCTACCTGTACACCGTGTTTGCATTAGGGACTTGATTTATGGATTCTTCTCCTGAGATGCAGAAACTGACTTCCTGTTGCCTTGGTTACTCGGAGCTCAGTTCAAGGTTAAACTACTCCCAATCAAAATCACTGGCAGACGCGGAATCCAGTGGCCAGGTTATCGACTGCCCCAGGATGCAGAAAGGTCAGGGACCCAAGCACTGTTTACTGCCTTCCGGGTGAGTCAATAGCTTCAATATTTTGATTCTTTTCCTTCTGAAGTAGAAGTAGCTGCTCAATTACCTCTCCCCCAGGTTACTCAAGGTCACAAAGGTCATGGTGGAAATCAGGGTCTTTGGTGGCTAACTTCTCAGGATCCATTTAATGAGTTTTGTGACCTTGGCAAGTAAAACTCCACCTCCTCTTAAGTAATTTGTATGTTACTGTAAGGTTAATAAAGCTGATTATCACTCACTTCTCATTCCTTTACAGGAAACAAGCAAATGCCTGTCATGGAGTCTACTGTACACTCCGCCTTCTAGTAGATGAGAAAAGAGAACTTCAAAACAGGTCATGACTGGCCTCAATCAACACAGTGGCAGGCCCGGCACAATCTGGACTCAGCAACTCACTGTTGGTCCTCCACATAACTCCTTAGCGATAAGGAGCCGACAGCTCATCACTGATGAACCCCACCGATTTCATTTTGGTACTTCCACTGTAGAGAGCATTGTGACTGGCAGACAGGACTTGACTCGTGTAGGCTTGCAGAATAGCTTCCTTAATTTTCAAATTCTAAAATTTGCAAATGCAGGTGCTTCTTACAGCTGATGTCTATGCAGGGGGCGGGGCAAAGAAAGGCCACTGGGATGGCTGGTCCTCTCCATCACCTCCCAGCCCTTTGCTTACTCTGCAGAATGCAGAGATTGATATGAATGGGCAATTAAAATTCATTGAGTAGTTAAGCAGCTTTTAATTTTGCAAAGATTTTTGACATGCAATATGCTGTTTGTGGATTGTAAGAGGTACATGGTGAGCCCTCCAATATGTAAGTGAGGAAACAGAGGCAGAGAGGACCAGACGACTTACCTA